TGTTGAATCTGAAATGACAAATAATGCGAATTTACTAAAACAAAGCAGGGAGAGAATGTGAGACAGAAGGTTCTGAACGAAGTAACGAGTACGTTACTGCGATTCCCAGTCACGGCACTAGATATTCATTTCAAACGAAAATTTGATTTTTGGTGGACGTCAATCAAAACGATTTTTTCTTTTAAGGTCTAAAGATTCCGACTCCCAATTTCACAGAAATATACGTCTACCGAAAACCCAATTTTTCGTTTGTCATGAAGGTCGAATTGGTGGAGTGTGACTGGGAATCACAGTAATGTATTTTATTTGTTTGTTTACACTTTAATGTTTTTTTATTGTTTGTTTCTTTTTGTGGTTTTCTTATATATATTGCTGTTTGTTATTTTGTTATTGTTGTTTAATTTTGTGTGCGTCTTTGTGTGTTTGCGTGAATGCCTTTTTTTCTAGGGAAGTAACAATTTTCATCGATTCTCCTTAAAGTGGGTGAATTTCACATTTTTTGTCTTTGATCTTTTGTACGAATACAGTAGTAAAACAGTAGTGTTACAAACAAGATAATTCCATGCAACAATCTTAAAGAATTAGTAAGATATTTGGCGTTATACCTTGAGTCRCTTCAACTGTAGCTACTACTGCAGATTGGCCCGCGTAAATTTTCTTTAAAAAAGTAAAAGGCAAAAAAAAGGTATTACTTTTCATTTCCATTTGACCTGTATAAGAGATACTCCAATTTCAAGTTTTCTTTGCTCAGCCTTAGTCTCGGTTGTGCGTTAACATTTTCGGCTATTAACTAAGCCGTGGCACTTTAATCAACTCGTATTGTTCCGTAGCTCGTCATTCCTTACCATACAATCGACCTTACTGAAAGAAGAGAACACATTTGTACACAATCGAGGCTTAGACTGAGCAAAGGCAAACTCAAAATGGGAGTATTAGATTAGAACCCCCCTGATACGACAAAAGTAATTTTAATTCAATATCAATCAATCTTAATAGTCCCATATACTTACTCCTTGATGTTCAGTAATCGCTCTTTCTGCAATAGTATATATTTTTCCTTTGTCTAGTGGTACATTTTTATAATGTCCATATATTTTATTGTCACCCACAGGTAAAGAAGACTTGATCTCGTTTGGTTTCAGTTCTGCTGCGACGTAAAGCTCCTGTGCATCTTTGTAGTCACCGATATTTGTTGGTAAGTCACTGACATCTTTGTTTCCTTTGACTACGATAACTTGATATGAACTGTGATATGTTAATAGTGACGTTAATAATGGATACGAAGTGTACACTTCTCTACATATAATTAGGTAACCGTAGTTGTATTATTTATAGCTTGATGTATAGACCTGTAGCACCTTTGAAAGGGGGAGATCTCGATTTTTAAATATATATTAAATCAGAAAATGTGTTGTACAAGTTTAAAAATACAATTTGTAATAACTACCTGATTGGTCCATTGACAGGATCAACTGACCATAATGGAACGTCAAATTTGTCCTTTAGAGTCACAGAATTCCCTGTAGGCTTAACAGGATCTAGAACATGAAGTATTTAAATGATGCTTTAGGCAGCGAGACA